ATATATATATATATATATATATATATATATATATATATATATATATATATATATATAAATATATATATATATATATATATATATATATATATATATATTTCGAAAAAAATTATTTTCGTGTGTAGAAAACAATTTCGCAGATCTCATGACAACGAAAAACGAGACTATTAAAACATATTACCACAATACCCTTGTACTTGTAGTATTACGCCACCACTGTGGCCAGACAAAAAATACCACGAAACTCCCCCCCCCCTCCCAACGCGATTGTTACGTCAATAAAATACCAATGTAAACAAAACTCGCAATAACAAGCCAGAAGAAAATATTAACCATATTGATTTTGGTAACGGAGGGGTATCGATTATCCCCCTCTATGAAAGGACAATAAGGATTAAAAGACATGGGGGGAGGGGGGATATTTCAACTGGCAGTGACGGACACGAGAAGAGAAAAACATACACGGAAATGATGTCTTACCGGCAAAGCCGGACAAATGGGTGCCGGCCTAATGTGGCGCTTCAGCATAACAATCAACCTAGTCCGGCTTCATACGGACAAAACATTTCTCTAAAGCTGCAAACATCCTTTGTTAGTCCGGTGTTTGTGACTGATTAAACCAGATTAATGAATGATTAAACTAAAGTAGCACGTTTATTAAACTAGATTGGAGGATTATTAAAATGAAATGAAATTATTGAACTAAAGTGGAAAGGTTTTTGAACTTAAGTAAACAAACTGATTGAATTATACTGGACAGATTATTCAACGGAACTTGGCAGTTTATTGAATTAAGTTAACTTTATCTCTTTTGCATTCTACCCAGACACCAGCGCCCTCTATTACCCAGACACCAGCGCCCTCTATTACCCAGACACCAGCGCCCTCTATTACCCAGACACCAGCGCCCTCTATTCTATTACCCAGACACCAGCGCCCTCTATTACCCAGACACCAGCGCCCTCTATTACCCAGACACCAGCGCCCTCTATTCTATTACCCAGACACCAGCGCCCTCTATTCTATTACCCAGACACCAGCGCCCTCTATTCTATTACCCAGACACCAGCGCCCCCTATTCTATTACCCAGACACCAGCGCCCTCTGACTATTCTATTACCCAGACACCAGCGCCCTCTGACTATTCTATTACCCAGACACCAGCGCCCTCTATTCTATTACCCAGACACCAGCGCCCTCTGACTATTCTATTACCCAGACACCAGCGCCCTCTATTCTATTACCCAGACACCAGCGCCCTCTGACTATTCTATTACCCAGACACCAGCGCCCTCTGACTATTCTATTACCCAGACACCAGCGCCCTCTATTCTATTACCCAGACACCAGCGCCCTCTATTCTATTACCCAGACACCAGCGCCCTCTGACTATTCTATTACCCAGACACCAGCGCCCTCTGACTATTCTATTACCCAGACACCAGCGCCCTCTGACTATTCTATTACCCAGACACCAGCGCCCTCTGACTATTCTATTACCCAGACACCAGCGCCCTCTATTCTATTACCCAGACACCAGCGCCCTCTGACTATTCTATTACCCAGACACCAGCGCCCTCTAATTTTTTATTACCCAGACACCAGCGCCCTCTGACTACCTATTACCCAGACACCAGCGCCCTCTGACTATTCTATTACCCAGACACCAGCGCCCTCTGACTATTCTATTACCCAGACACCAGCGCCCTCTGACTATTCTATTACCCAGACACCAGCGCCCTCTGACTATTCTATTACCCAGACACCAGCGCCCTCTGACTATTCTATTACCCAGACACCAGCGCCCTCTAATTTTTTATTACCCAGACACCAGCGCCCTCTGACTATTCTATTACCCAGACACCAGCGCCCTCTAATTTTTTATTACCCAGACACCAGCGCCCTCTGACTATTCTATTACCCAGACACCAGCGCCCTCTAATTTTTTATTACCCAGACACCAGCGCCCTCTGACTATTCTATTACCCAGACACCAGCGCCCTCTGACTATTCTATTACCCAGACACCAGCGCCCTCTGACTATTCTATTACCCAGACACCAGCGCCCTCTGACTATTCTATTACCCAGACACCAGCGCCCTCTGACTATTCTATTACCCAGACACCAGCGCCCTCTAATTTTTTATTACCCAGACACCAGCGCCCTCTGACTATTCTACTACCCAGACACCAGCGCCCTCTATTCTATTACCCAGACACCAGCGCCCTCTGACTATTCTATTACCCAGACACCAGCGCCCTCTGACTATTCTATTACCCAGACACCAGCGCCCTCTAATTTTTTATTACCCAGACACCAGCGCCCTCTAATTTTTTATTACCCAGACACCAGCGCCCTCTGACTATTCTACTACCCAGACACCAGCGCCCTCTATTCTATTACCCAGACACCAGCGCCCTCTGACTATTCTATTACCCAGACACCAGCGCCCTCTGACTATTCTATTACCCAGACACCAGCGCCCTCTAATTTTTTATTACCCAGACACCAGCGCCCTCTAATTTTTTATTACCCAGACACCAGCGCCCTCTATTCTATTACCCAGACACCAGCGCCCTCTATTCTATTACCCAGACACCAGCGCCCTCTATTACCCAGACACCAGCGCCCTCTGACTATTCTATTACCCAGACACCAGCGCCCTCTGACTATTCTATTACCCAGACACCAGCGCCCTCTGACTATTCTATTACCCAGACACCAGCGCCCTCTGACTATTCTATTACCCAGACACCAGCGCCCTCTATTCTATTACCCAGACACCAGCGCCCTCTGACTATTCTATTACCCAGACACCAGCGCCCTCTATTCTATTACCCAGACACCAGCGCCCTCTATTCTATTACCCAGACACCAGCGCCCTCTATTCTATTACCCAGACACCAGCGCCCTCTATTCTATTACCCAGACACCAGCGCCCTCTATTCTATTACCCAGACACCAGCGCCCTCTGACTATTCTATTACCCAGACACCAGCGCCCTCTATTCTATTACCCAGACACCAGCGCCCTCTATTCTATTACCCAGACACCAGCGCCCTCTATTCTATTACCCAGACACCAGCGCCCTCTATTCTATTACCCAGACACCAGCGCCCTCTATTCTATTACCCAGACACCAGCGCCCTCTGACTATTCTATTACCCAGACACCAGCGCCCTCTATTCTATTACCCAGACACCAGCGCCCTCTGACTATTCTATTACCCAGACACCAGCGCCCTCTATTCTACTACCCAGACACCAGCGCCCTCTGGCTAATCAGCGAGGTTCCCTACTCAGAGCACGATCTGCCAACAAGAGGAACACAGGACCCCCCAAACATCAGACGTGGGCCACGGAGCCAACAAACATTAGTGGTGACCGCTCCTTTGACGTAACAACAATGCTAGAATTGTCTCTTCCTGTTTAGTAGTCCTGACCCTTGGGCAAGCATTCGCGTCTTCAAGCCCCCCCCCCCCCCCCCCCCGACTTCCATTCGTGTCTTAGATACCCCTCCCCTTCTGGCAGCAATGTGTGTCTTGTAGTCGTCCACCTTCCACACCCCTTCACCCCCACTCCTACCCCCCATCTCCACCATCACTCCCTACCCCACCCATACTATCACCCCCCCCCCCCTCCCCCCACCTCCGCGTTACATGAGAGCCAAGGGTATTTCAAAATCGGCGAGACAGAAAATCAAGAGGTCAAATGACACGACGGTAAAGATGACCTGGAAGTGACGTCACCGATCTCAGTCCGACTTGAGCCGATCTTCTCGTCTGCCACCGGCTTGTACATTCTCCCTGGCGGCTTCACTAAAATACCGGAACTCGGTAACACGGGCATTAAGAAAAGAATCAAATAATGAGTTCTGGGTGCCAGCCGTCCATCCCCCACCCTCCTCCTCGCGTGTTTTAGGGTGGAATAATTAAGATGAAATTACAGATTAGGATTATGGGTTATCTTCTCCTGTTGTTAGGGGTAGTTGCAGGGCGCGATGACATGATGAGTTTAGATTTCCAATGGGTTTAAGATTTCCAATGGGTACGGGGGTCACTTTACATCACAGTGGAGTCACGTCACAACACTGCGTCACGGTGCAATGGTAACGTTACTACCTGGTGTGACATCGTCAGTATTTCGTGTGACAACGTCACTATTTCATGTGACAACGTCACTATTTCATGTGACAACGTCACTATTTCGTGTGACAAAATCACTATCTTGTTTGACAACGTCACCATCTGTTGTGACAAAGTCATTGTCTCTGTTCTTTGTGACGATACTCTCCCGGTGACCCTAGTAAAGACACAGGGTAAACGTAAATATTTCAATAGAAACCGTACAACCTCATCTCCCACGATGGGAAGATGTGGACGGTGCTGCTCACAATTCTGGGGTTATGTAGGACTTGTCATTAAATGAAGAATCCATACGTTAATGCTTATATTTTGTTATCTATATTACACACATGGGATTGTTTTGAGTTTGGTTTTACGATGTTTGAAAATCTGATTATTACCTATATAAACATCAAACGGTAGCGGGGTGGAGTGGGGAAGGGGCTTTTCTCATAGGAGGTTTGTCACGATAGTTTTTGTCACGATAGTTTTTGTCATGATAGTTTTTGTCACAATTTTTTTTGTCACGATAGTTTTTGTTAGAAGTTTTTATTTTGTCACGAGGAGGTTTAGCTGCGATAGGGTAAAGTCACGTGGGTATTTGTCACTCTGCCAAGAATCGACACTCCCTTCCTGTAGCACATCTGCCGAGCTGCTATCAGTGCTGATAGATCACAACATTAATCCCTACCCCCCTCTCCTCCCCCTCCCTCCTTTTTAAAAACATCTTATCAGTGCCCTCGATGCCCCCTTATCTTCTACATCATCCTCGTAACCTTTTGTTGTGTTTACATCTCTCGTCCATTAATCCATATTGTATTGAATCAATTCTATATTTAGCCTGTGATTACAGAGTGATTTCCCTTTCTTCCACAGGGATATCAAGCCAGACAACATTCTATTGGATGAAGAAGGTAGGTCAGCAATCACGTGATCACACGTTCAATGTAAATACATACAGCAGCAATACAGAGGTTTCTTGTAGATGAGTTTTACAGCCAAAAGACAATGGCTGTGTTAATGGCACCAATTGAATATCATTGATTAGGGCGGCGGTTGATGAATCAAACAAATTAATGGAGTTATTTGTTTACATTGATGGAGCGATAACGTCAGGTATGGATTATACCATCTCACTGCCTCAGTGTGTTAGTCGTGATCAAGATAGAGGGCGACGGCAGTAAGACATGGGGGGGGGGTAGTAGAGGGGAGAGGGAGGGCGCCAGTACAGAGTTTCTTCCAGGCATCTCTTCGGGGGGCGAAGCCCCCCCCCCCCCGAAAATTTTTTACCGCCCCCCCCCCCCCGAACGAAATGAAATTTATATAATTTATATAGAAAATATATACTTTTAACAGTGTCCGCCCCCCCGAAGAAAGTCTACCGCCCCCCCGAAAATTTCGAGTGCCCCCCCGGAGAAAAAAGTCTGGAAGAAACACTGCGCCAGTAGGAGGGGTGCTTCTATGAGAAAAAGCCACTAGTAGGAAGTTAATAGAAAGGGTGCTAGTAGTAGCGTCACAAGTTGGGGCGAGTGCGGGGAGGGTGCAGTCCGCTTTCCATGGGTTGACATCAATTCGAAGTCTGAAGTTAGGGCGCCATTAGGAGGGGGAGTCTAAAGTGTGGGCGCCACTAGGAGGGGGGGTCTATAGTGTGGGCGCCACTAGGAGGGGGAGTCTTAAGTGTGGGCGCCACTAGGAGGTGGAGTCTAAATTTGGGGTGCCACTAGGAAGGGGAGTTTAAAGTGGGGGCGCCATTAGGAGGGGAGTTTAAAGTGGGGGCGCCACTAGGAAAGGAAATATACCAGAAATGAGACATGTAAATATCTTCAACTCTGAATGGTTGTCATTTTTTTTTTGACTTTTCAAAATACTGTTTCGCGAAGACATTTAAATACCAAGAATTTCGCGAAGACATTATTCAAAATAATAAAAATTTCCTCAGAATACCATTTTATTCTTAAATTCATCCCCTAAAATTCAAAGTATTTCGCAAATATCCCTCCAAATCACATGTATTCTAATTACTGACGGATTACACACAGTAAGAAATATATTTTTAAAAAATGCACAGCTTACATAGATTAATCTGAGATTAAAACAAAATATCAAGTATTCTTTTATGAGAGCCACAACCTTCTTATGCTACAAATTTTGGTTTCCTGTGACATGAAAATTTATTTAGGAGAAAAAAAAATTCAACATCAAACTAAAAACTAATTTTTGTTTTCATTCTATGTCGAAAATTTGAGACGAAAATTCCATCACAGAGGCTTACGTCTAAATTCAATGTATCTTTGGGATCATTTTTCTTGCCTCTTAAGCCGCTAGACTAGACAGGAAATCACACACATTCTCGCGTAGAATAATTTGTTTAAAAATTGAAAATTTTGGCCAGTGACAGGGTCGAAGAAAGTAGGGAATATTTTTTTTTTTACACCAGTGGTATACCCGGCACAGGATAAACTGACATCGGAGATTCCAAAGCTCTTTTCACATTTGTAACATTTAAAAAATGAGTTCTTCAGACTGCTGAAGACGAGCGTACCCGCTGACGTTTTTCTCATTTGTCAGTCTAAATACCCGCCAGTTAACGAAACCGTTAGTTACCGGGTTATGCCTTAACTTTTCTTTAATTAGTAAGATTAAATTTTCTGAATTTATTTTAATTAAATAAATATATTTTATAAAAAAAAGCGTAAAGTAAGAATATAAATCAGCACTGTTAATAATCTTTGGCCGCAAGAGTTCAAAGGTCAATCATTCAGCCCAAAATGTCAATTTTAGCTTCAATGTTGTGTGAAACAACTACGCTTAGCAAAAGATAATTGTAACGGCCTGTAAATTACATTATCCTTGTTACACATTTTTAGTGGTGTCCAGTGCTGCTACGTTTAAATAAAGTTGATCCCAAAAGCACTGGGTCATGTGACAGGGCTGTGGGGTGAATAAGGCTCGGGGGGGGGGGGGCGATGGGAAACAGAGCGAACAGGGTTTTGATAGCGGCATAAAAACGTCGTCTGAATTAAGCCACGTGTATTTGTGCGTGAGAAAGCGCCAGATTAATTTATCATGCTGGAAAGATAAAACGCCAGGGCACATATCTTAGCAGACATTTTTTTTATAAACTGACAGGCAAGACAGGCAAGAATGAGATGTAATGTCTCCCAGACTCAACTTTGACAGCTCTTTGTCAATGAGATGTGACAATAGTCAATGAGACGTGACAACATTTAATGAGATTTGACAAGTCTCTGTCAATGAGACGTGACAACATTTAATGAGATTCGACAAGTCTCTGTCAATGAGATGAGACAACAGTCAATGAGATATGACAAAACTATATCACTGAGAATATGAAAACAGTCAAGACATGAGACAACAGTCAGTGAGATGTGAAAAATTTCAGTCAATGAGATGTAACAAAACTCAGATGTAACAAAAATGTCAGTGAGATATGACAAAACTCTGTCAATGAGAATGTGACAATGGTCAATGAGATTTGAGAACCGCCATACGAAGCTTTACGAAGCACCTACTAATGATCATCCTTATCTAAAGATGTATACGACTAATGATGTACACAGTGCTAACGATTTGTACAACACACATACCAATGAAGTGTTTAAGCCACACATCACTAATGATGTATAAACACCGCTTATGATGTACACAAACCGCTAATGGTGTATACACACCGCTAATGATGTATACACACCGCTAATGATATATACACATCGCTAATGATGTACACACACCGCTAATGATGTACACACACCGCTAATGATAACGCTAATGATGTACACACACCGCTAATGATGTACACACACCGCTAATGATAACGCTAATGATGTACACACAGAGCCAATGATGTAGACACCCCTTACAGCACCCAGTAACAAAAACACGCGACTTTAAGCGCCTCTCGTCTGTGCTCGAGATTAGACAAGTTCAAAGGTCAACACTAAATACGAGAAAGACAACAAAGAAACGGATGAAGGGGTTGATGGAGGGAACTAGAATCTTGACAGAATTCAAGAAGGCTAGGGTGGACCGAGGGAGGGGAGGGGGGGGGGAAGACGCGTGGAGTGTGTGACAAGAGATGGGTGGGGCAGGAGGGGGGACGGGTAAATAAGGAAGCCGTGATGTTGACAATGGATTGTGGGAACGAGTTGGATGCCAGAGATTTATGACGTGTCTGCCGGTGTGTTAACACGTCCGGTCACTCGATTGTGCACAGGGCATTCTGGGAGCCGCAAATGAGACGGAAGTGACGCACGAGTATTCCAGAATTGCTTTTTTTTCTCTTTTTAACTCTACCAGGAGCCGAGGGCTTGCGATCTCGCGAGGGTAAATAGAAAGGTTCTCCAGGTAAAAGATGCTTGGGTACGCCCGGGGTCATTTGTGTCCGGGGTAGCCCCAGGGTGGATGAATGGCGATCTATACCAGACAGGGCGGGGGGGGGGGGGGAAGAATCTTAAACAGATTTGTGGAATGGAGAAACATGAAAACTGTGGCGTTGAGCCCGGAGAGGTAGGGATCAATGTTTTCTGTTTGCTTGGACTTGAAGGTTTATATTCAAAGGTGTACCCACGGGATCTGCCTATGTTGGCCTTTGTTGTTTGTCTGGGATCGCCATTATTAAATTATTGCAAATAGAATATATGCAGCATAAAGGAAGTCTAAGTCTATATGGGCAAGACATTATGGGTTCAAATGGTGTAATCCTTCCTGTGCAGTTAATATCCCCCCTATACATATTTTACATGTTAAAAAATTGTATTTCAGGTCACCATTCATAGATTTTAAAAATTTAAGGACACGTTCATATCATAGATTTTAACATTTTCAGGGCACGTTCATGTCACAGATTTTAACATTTTCAGGGCACGTTCATATCACAGATTTTAACATTTTCAGGGCACGTTCATATCAGAGATTTTAACATTTTCAGGGCACGTTCATATCACAGATTTTAACATTTTCAGGGCACGTTCATATCACAGATTTTAACATCGCCTCTGAGATGAAACAAGACGAACTAGCGACTTCGCTGTCAGGCACCAAGCCATATATGGGTAGGTTTCTTGCTCGAGATATACTTCTATGGATAGTTATCTTGAAGTAGGTAGGTTTACTTTTGTATGTAGGTTTACTTCTGTGGATAGTTATCTTGAAGTAGGTAGGTTTACTTCTGTATGTAGGTTTACTTCTGTATGTAGGTTTACTTTTGTATGTAGGTTTACTTCTGTGGATAGTTATCTTGAAGTAGGTAGGTTTACTTTTGTATGTAGGTTTACTCTGTGGATAGTTATCTTGAAGTAGGTAGGTTTACTTTTGTATGTAGTTTTACTTCTGTGGATAGTTATCTTGAAGTAGGTAGGTTTACTTCTGTATGTAGGTTTACTTCTGTATGTAGGTTTACTTTTGTATGTAGGTTTACTTCTGTGGTTAGTTATCTTGAAGTAGGTAGGTTTACTTTTGTAGATATTTTTTCTGCAGTAAGGTTTACTTCTATAGGTAGGTTATTGCTTTTGGTAGATTTACTTCCGTGGGTAAGTTTCTTGATGTAGGGAGGTTAACTTGTATGTGAAGCTTATATGGGGCGGGTTTACTTCCGTACATTTTCTATTGGTTGTTTTTCTTCTATTTTATTCCGTGGGTATGTTAACATAATGATATGGATGGGATTTTTTCCTCACATGCTCAGATATAATTTAATAACCATCCATTAACGACGTGTTTATCAGGGTGAGTGGGTACTAGATGGGGAGGTGGAATTAACTGTGGTCGACTAAAGGTTGCTAAAATGTGGGTGGGGATTTGTTCTGTGATGTTAAGTTCGACATTCACTTAATGACGTTTTAAATCTTTTCATGTTTGTCGTGCTCATGCTCAATTAAAATGGACGTCTTAATTAGTAGCGTCCTTAACTACCCCATGATGTTAATTTCTGTTTTCTTTGACTCAGTATTTAATGTCTTTCTTGTGCAGGTTTAGAGTGCTTGCTAAATGACGTTCAGCTCTTTGTTGGGAAGGGGAGGGGGTGGATTCCAGGGCAAAAGCTTTTTCACATTACAAATGACGGGATTGCTTTTTGCTGTAATATAATACAACAAAACGGAGTGGATAATAGAGTTAATATACCCTTAACAACTGGCGCCAAATATAAGGGTCTTAAGCTAGTCAGAAGCCTATTTAAATCAACTATTCCTTTCGATATTAGGTTAAAAATACATTATTAAACCATCCCCGAATCGATGTAAAAAAAACGTCTTTCTATGAGATTGTGTAGCTATTGTTGTAAACCAGCACTGTAATGACTTCCCTTTGTGCTATTATTTGCTGACTTAGCACTTCTGAGACGAGCAACGCATGTAGGAAGTAATGAGATATGTTTTCCTTAAGTCCTGGCCCAGAGAATATCGTGACCATACTCTGTAGATACATGTACTTTGGGTGGACCAAAATAAACTGGTGCTGACATTGTGCACGCGACACAAATGAGCAATAATCGATACTGCTCCGCAAATGGAATCGCCCAGTTTGATTTGGTTTAATGGGCAGCAGTTAGCTTGAGCACAAGACAACTGGGGGCGTATTAAATTTCTGCTTAGCCAGTGGTCCTCACACTGTCACAAGCCCAGCAGCCAGTGGTCCTCACAGCCAGTGGTCCTCACACTGTTACAGCAAGTAGTTCTCAAAGCCAGAGGTCCTCACAGCAAGTGGTCCTCGCAGCCAGTGGTTCTCACGCTGTTACAGCAAGTAGTTCTCAAAGCCAGAGGTCCTCACAGCAAGTGGTCCTCGCAGCCAGTGGTTCTCACACTGTCACAGCAAGTAGTTCTCAAAGCCAGAGGTCCTCACAGCAAGTGGTCCTCGCAGCCAGTGGTTCTCTCACTGACAGTCCCCACAGCCAGTGGTCCTCACACTGTCACAGCAAGTGGTCCTCACACTGTTACAGCAAGTAGTTCTCATAGCCAGAGGTCCTCACAGCAAGTGATCCTCTCAGCCAGCTTCAGAACCCTTTTCTTACAACTTTTATTCCACAGCCAATTTTTGTTGTTGTTTTTATTCGATGATGTGGGATTGTGGCATAGAATATATGGAGGGTATCCATTTTTATATTGTGTTTGTGTTGAATGGGGTTAGTTGGTTCTATAGGGTGACATTGTATACAATTGTCTTCTGTTATTTTTATTCCTATTTTAGAAAATTAAAATTGACATTCAGAACGGTGGGGTAATTTTTTTTCTCTTTTCAACACAAAATAAGACTTTACAACTGTTTTAATATTATGAGTTTGTAATAAAATGAGTAATTTTGTTAAAATTGATGCTTTCTTCCTTAATCGTGTTTTTAGTACGCTACTCGGTTGTGTTCAGGGGGAGGGCAGGAAGATAAGGGGAAATGATTGCTAGAAATCTTAGATGGGGGGGGGGGGGGAGAAGGAGGGGGAAGTGGAGGGATGTCTGCTAGAAATCTTAGATGGGAGGATGAGGAGGGTTGATGTCATGGAGATCTATGGAAATGTGATGTGTTATCATATCGGGTAGTGAGGATTCAAAGATTTATGTTTTGTATTCATGTTATTAATCCCTGTCAAGTTAAGACATTTTAGCACTGAACTAGGTTAAATATTTAATGGAATCACAAACACAGAACTAATGCATACAAATATTTACCATTGATAAAAATTGATTTAATTCTTGTGAGTCAAAAAAGCTAATTCTGCTATTAAAAAAACTCAGCAAGCCTACTTTAATCAATAAACACAGTTTGTTCTGGAATCTATGACTTTAATCAATGGCATAACCTTGTACTGGAATCTAACATAACCTTGTACTGGAATCTTTAACACAACCTTGTTCTGTAGTCTATAACACAACCTTGTACTTGTACTGTAATACTATAACACAATCTTGTACTGTAATCTACAACACAATCTTGTACTGTAATCTACAACACAATCTTGTACTGTAGTCTTTAACACAACCTTGTACTGTAATATATAACACAATCTTCTATTCTAAATTTACAACACAACCATATATTCCAGCTCCAGAAATTTTCAGCACTGCCATTGGGGAGGTCAAAGGTTACAGTTACCCCATAGACTGGTGGGCTCTGGGTGTCACGTTATTTGAGCTGCTCAGAAAGAGGGTAAGTCAACACCCGCCCATCCCTACCCAGATTTATTGAGACTTGAGCTCATAGAGAGGACCCAACAGAAAATGGGATGTCTTCAAGTTTGTCCCCATTCAGGAAGCTACTCTAAATTGTATGGATATCCACAGTATTGATGGTTTAAGTTTATGGTCTAGTAAATGGTTCTCAAGGAGTATTACCCTAGGTTTAGCAGTTCTAATGATTAATTAACAATTATATAAATTGATTTAAATAACCAACTGCCTAGCATAAATGAAATAATGTTTTAAAATTGCCAAATTTGCTTGTTTCAGAGACCGTTTAATATTTATGCGGACACCAGCCCACAAGAAACCCTTCACATAATCTACAACAGCAAGGTTCATTACCCTTCTACTGTCTCAGACCAGATGAATGACATCTTGAGGCAGGTCAGAGATTCATTTTCACCTACTATCCAACCAAAGTCTATGTAACAACTTTTTTTTTCTTTCAAACCAGTCTCTATCATGTAACACCTTTTTCTTCCCAACCAAAGTCTATGTAACACCTTTTTTCTTCCCAACCAAAGTCTATGTAACACCTTTTTTCTTCCCAACCAAAGTCTATGTAACACCTTTTTTCTTCCCAACCAATGTCTATGTAACACCTTTTTTTGCTTCCACACCAGTCTCTATCATGTAACACCTTTTTCTCTCCAACAAAAGTCTATGTAACACCTTTTTTCTTCCAAACCTATCTGTATCATGTAACACCTTTTTTTCTCTTCCCAACCATTTTGTATGTAATACCTTTTTCTTTCAACCAAAGTTTATATGAAACACCTTTTTTCTTCCAACCAAAGTTTGCATGAAACACCTTTTTTTCTCTCAAATCAGTATGCATGTAACACCTTTTATGTTCCCAACCAATGTCTGTATGGCAGCCTTTATTTAACAAGAATTCTCTGTATGTCTGTCTGTATGGAATCATGCATTCATATACATAATGTAAAATGCGACCAGACCAATTACGACATAATTGAATGGAAGTGGACAGAACTTTTTTTACTAGGTCTATAGATAAAAACAACATTCTATAAAAATCTAATGTATTAAAAGAAAAAGATAAAATTATGAATGAATCAATAAAAAAATCTAAATTGAATACATTTTTTCAATTCCTTTATCTTTTCAAAATGTTCTATCCTTTTGTTAGAAATTATACTGAGAAAATATAAAACTATTTTTATCCTAACCAAATTCTATCTAAAGCTTTATGACCAGTTCTGAGACTTAAAATTCCTTAAAATATTAACCCCATTGGGACTGGGCACCACGTGTACGGTGAGGAAAAGCCAATTTCCTACTGAGTTGGCCGCTGTTTGCCAGATGTGACTTCCAGCTTGAGAAAACAAATGGTGAAATGTCAAAAATAATTGAATATAATATTTTCAGGAACCCATTTTTATCACATGCAGCATAAAAATAAACTTCAAGAGAAAAGAGCTGAAAAGAAAACTGCTCACATGAAGCATAGCTTGTTACAGCTAAAGCCTGACTGACAGAGTAATTGTCCTGTTGTTTTTTATCAGAAAATATTTCAGCTTTTTAATTCCTGGTATGTTTTTTTTAATACTTGTGTAATGAAAGAGAAAATTTTAAACTTGACAGCTTCTCCATACCAACCCTGAGCAAAGGATTCAAACGCTGCAGGCCGTCCAATCACATCCATTAATGGTCAACCTTCACTTAGATAAAGTAAAGGCCAAGGCCATCAAACCATTGTTTGTGCCTTCAGTAAGTGTTTAGTTATAACTTACTGTAGACAAATAGAAATATTTTTTCCTGGCTCTAAAAAGAAATTTCCATAGTAAAAAAAAAAAAAAATAACTAAAACCCATGCAAGGGAAATAACTGAAAATTAATCACCTCACAAAAGTACTAAATGAAAGTTATGGTTATTTGTAGGCTTGTTTGATTCTGCAATTCTTTGTTTCCCCACAGAAAGACCATCTCAATTGTGATCCAACTTATGAACTAGAAGAAATGATCATAGAGACAAAACCCCTCCACAAAAAGAAAAAAAGGCTAGCAAAACAGTCATCTAAAAAAGACAGTTTATCATCTGAGGTACACTTGATTTAGCATCAGTATTAAAATTAATATCTTTAGAAAAATGAAATATTCAAAAAAAAAAAAAAAATAGAAAACCCCTATTGTTAAATTAACATGTTGAACACTTCCCTACCAGTGTTAATCAAAACTGACAAATGAAACCAGTCTCAGAATGAAAACTTGGGTTGGTTTATCTTTAAAAAAAAAGATCAAATTGCAACAAGCTGCTACACTAGAGTTTTGAGAACTTAGTGGTATAGATTAGGTTACAGCTAGCAAGTATCAAATCTAAGTTATATCCGTTTTCAACTTGTTGATTAATAAGTATGAAATCCTAAATCATTTCTATTTTGGGTGTAACAGTAGTTTTGTCGCTATCATAAGACTTGGCTATACAGAATTATATTGCCATATTGCTTAATGTCAGACCAGCCAATATTTTTCTGTCAGTAATTCTTTGTGTAAATGCCAGATGGTGAACAAATCAGCTGATGAGAGTTGCGACCTTTTTAAAGCCTTCCCTTACTACAACAGAGAGCTGTAAGTAGATATCATTACAATTGATAACTTTACTAGTGACTAAATAAAATTATTTTTATGTCACAGATAGTAAAACTATTTGTAAAAATTCATTTTTTTCATATTGCATAATCATTGATAACGTAGTCTACACCTCCAAAACAAGAATCTAAGATAAATAGAAATTATTTTAAAAAATGCTAATTCAAAACTTGCAAATGTAATTTTCATCAATACCTAATTGAATTGAGAAAACCAAGCTTTATTACAGGCAGCAAAATGCTATCTAATTTTTCAGAATGTTCAATGGCAGTTCTTCCAGTGGTCAGAATGATTCCAATATGAATCCTGAGCCAGTAGAAAACAAATCAGCACAAACAGTTGAGTCCAGCAAATCTGCAGATGTCATCAATTCCAACTTGAGCCAGACACCTAATGTAGGAGATAACTTAGAGAAGACAAGCAACCTCAACAGCGCAACTCTTAGCCATGCAACTCCTCTTAGTTCTTCATGATACTAATTTGCTATAAAATTTGATTATCTTGTTTTGTCTGTACATAATCATGTCCGCTTACAATAACTTTCATTTTGTTCATGTTTTTAATGAACTTTTTAAAAACTGTACACAAACCATGGTTCAGTAAGATAAAATATTGTGATTTGTAAAATTTGACAATCATAATAGATGTTTCAATATACCAGATCTTTTGTTATTACTTAATTCACTATAATTACATGTATGGCTAAATTAGCCAATTCCCCTTCCAGACAGATACTATAGTATCCAGGCAATCGGTTTTAGGTTACTTAATTAAAGTAATATGTTTTGAAAGTGCTATGCAGCTTACAACATTGGTACAGGGCAATATTTTCCAGAAGAGGGAAGTGCTTAGCCAGCTATAAACATATGAAATTACTGCTGGCAAAAATATATCAAACAGCACAATCAGAGAAATATAACTTGCTACAACTAGAACAAAGATCCCCCACTGAATTACGTGAATACAAGAACATTATTGGTAAAAGAAAAGTAAACAAGTGAATAACAGATATTTTTTTTATTTTTAAAAACAAAATTAATGACAACAAAAATTTACAAAAGAAACCTCTCATACATGATCAAACAGAAGAGGCTGTTTTATGTTAGATATATACACAATACAGCATGAAGGATGAAACATTTGAACCACACATGTTGAGATGATAATGAACCTTTATACAAATGAAGTCAGTGGTGAAATAGATGGACTGATCAGATTCTTTCTTGAGACTCTAACAGTACAACACTGTTACCACGAATGACCTGTGAAAATAGAAATACATTGCAGACATAAGAATTAAAATAAAAAAAAGCACAATTAACCTTGTACCTATTGGGGCATCAAAACTATTTTACTTTCCCTAAGGTCAGGTGAATTAAGACAACATTTTTCAACTTGGAGGCATTTTAATTAGATTGGTAACTTTGAAATAAAAATCTGAACTGTAGAGTAATCGTAGAAGATAAACTACTAGTGATAGAACAAGAAAATAACTAAAATAAAACTTATTTCCCGTCTCTGCTGATATCTTCAAAATATCATAACCATCAAAACTTGCGCTACTAAGCATCAATAAACTTTCTATACATATTTGGATAACCAAGGACGCACTGGATTGTACCATAAAAAACTGACCTCTTAGAACAAACACTATTAACAATTATGAATATGAAAAGGAAATTATTTCCTTATAAAAAAGGTTTCTATGAAATTGTAAATATAACTGTATAATAGAAATTATGAATACCAAAAAGCCCATTAACTTGCAGACACTAACACCATATTTCTTTTAATACTTTGTGACTGGAGTCTTGTAAAGTAGGAAGAGTCACACATAAAAAGAGGAATTTGAAGCAAAACAGAGGAACATCCATGCAGGTGTCTCTGCTATTGCTATGCCGTAACTAAATAATTAACAGGCTTTTAAAAAAAAATATACCCCCCACCCGAATAATAAAACTAACTTTAGCTGCTACAACAATGTTATCCGTTTGATTTACCATTAACTAGCAGTAGAATAGCTGCATGTGTTCCAGACTCACAATGTACTAGATTTATTCTAATAGTGGGCCATATGAACAAGAAACCAATTGTGACAATTTAGTTAGTGTGCTTTTGGTCATGGAATAATAGATTGTAAAGTATTGTCCTCATTTTTATTAATTTGTATATTTCGCTTACAACTCCCAAAGAACATATATTTTAATATTCCTTTTTGTTTTGTAACTGAATTTTTTAAAAATTCCTAAAATAATGTTCTTTTTAGAAAACTCCTTGAAGTCCTAATGATTGGGCCTAATCTTTGCAGACGACCTTTTCCACACTAACAAGTTAACACTACGCAAATAGATTAAATCACATTTTCCTCTCTCCTTAATATTTGACAATTTAGCTGAACAAATTCAGACGAAAGGTGGAGCAAGACATAAATTTTTATTTAGCAGAACAATTCCACTATTGGCCGGACAGTATGCATGTCTGTAAACACCAAAGAAAATATGAAGCACTTACCACCATGCCAATGTTTCTCTTTTCTCCTGATTTTGTTTCTTCAATAGCATCATCAACAACAAGATTCATAAAAGGGTCAAAGCCTCTGAGAGTACCTGTTACTTTTCTGTTACCATTCAGCTTCACTGTGAGGATTAAAAAAAAAAAAAAACATGTTAAAAACCTGAAAAATTATTCATACCTTCAGTTATATAATTATACAATGGTTCCTTCAATACAAATAGGTTGCATAAAATTAGTTTACAAAAGAACAAAAACAAATTTGATATTGTCCAGTATGCGCAAACTGTAATTTCTGGGGGAATTAAAGGGTTGTATTTACAAGTACTGGTCTAATAAAATCCAACATTCGCAAAAAGATAAATCAGGAATAAAGTAAGAATGGCACTGTATGGCAAACATGTTTAATTTACAAACATATCTTTAGCTATATACTCACATGTTAAAACCTTTTCCATATACCTGTAGAATTAAAAAGAAAAACATTAAGAAATTAGTTTTCAATGAAAAATACACTTGATCATGGAAAATGTAACTTTTTACAAAACAAATGCCATCAGATTACTAAAGAGACTTCATGCCATCTTTGAGATTTAGAAACTGAAAAAAAAAAAATTGCCTTAGGCTGTATGTTGATTATATATCATCCTTTAAGGTCTCTTAAGAGGATGAAAAAAAGAATCAGCAGAACAATGTATGTCTGGCCTTACAGTCAGTGTGGAAACTCTCCACAGCAACCAAGATTACAGACAATGGTAAAACTCTGGTTTGAATTTCAAAGACAGAATCTGGTGGCTACTTATCATCATATGGCAATTGCAAATTATTTTACAAGTAGGACTAATTATAATACTATGTTAACTTTGAAAATATAGGCATAAATTAAATGCACATAAAATGACACAGATCACAAAAGGTCAATGCAAAACAAAGTTACAACTTTACCATTCACAAAAAATGCATTTAACAAAATATAAATAAATGGTTTAGATAAATGCACAGGTCAACAAAAAAAAATGTCAGCAATTTTAATGTCTGTAATAATTAGATACTAGTAGATGTAAAAAAATTTTAAGAAATCATTTTTAGAGACCTTTTTTGAACCTACAAGGTAAATAAGTTTATGTTATCACATAGCCTAATTGATCAGCATAATGATAACTGGCTAGGCCTAAGTAACTCAATTTACATTTAGGCCTATGTTAAAGAAATGGACAAATTGTGATTTTATAGGCCTACTAGTCTCCATGTACGATACTTCCATAAGAATAATAAGATTCCAGATTTTAAAAAGATAAAAATTCAGAACGTCATTTTTTATTTCACCTCATTATAACTTCATAAATAAGTAAGCATGTCCTTACAATACTTACATGATCAGTCTTTTAATGAAAGAGATTAATAATCCATATCTCCCTGCACATATACAAGTCAAAATGTAGGCCTAATTTCATAACCGATATTGGATGATTTTAGATAGGCCTACCACTACCAGTAACCAAACACCCTTTTTTTTTTAAAGAAGATTCTATTATCAGACACTGGTATAAAAAATTCCCCTCCAGATATTTATTACAACTCCAGCCTGCTGTGATATGGGGAAGGGGGAGAGAATAAAAAATTCTGACCAGACCAGGAACCCCACTAATTTATGTTGGAGACTTGAATTTGACTTAAGGCAAAAGCATAAACTTTCAGGCAATAACCAGGTTGTCATAAGTGTAAAATTACGGGGCATAACAAAAGGATAGGCAGGCCTCATAATTGGAGTATCCAGTGTTATCATGTTACTTGTGTCTGACAGTACTACACTTCAGAAACGTTTTTATAATGTGTTTATAATTAAAACATGCTCAACTGGAGGTGAACGTGAAGTGGGGAATAAAATTAGCTAAAATGGAGTTTTACCCAATCAACAAAGAGATCTAGAAAGCCTAGATCAGATTCTAGAATAGAATTAATAGAAAAAAAGAAATAGGCCTATCAATAAATAGCTCATAGTTTAGATTTGAACTCTAGATCGGTAAAACTCCATTTTAGCGTATTTTATTCCCGCTTCACCTCCAGCTGAGCGTATTTTATTATCAACACAACCGGAACATACAAAAACGTTAAGAAAACATTGGGCTTATTTCTTTACGAAGTTTTGTTTTAGTTTTGATAAATTACATTTGTCTAAACTTGAGAAAAACCAAATTTGGAATATTGAATGTGCTATGTTCGTGTGTCAGTTAAAATTTAAGATATTCAGCGCCAATGGGCATGGGTGAAGTACAAAACTCACAACTGCAAGAGGTGGTTTAGTTTGTATTGCTACAAGTATCTCACATGCATCATACTATAAATAAACTTGTATGAACTCACCATGACCCCAAAACTGGGGCCAACACCATTTCAAATAGCTATTGCCCAAGCTATGAAATATGCTGATAATAAAGTCAATATGAACTGACGTTGAACACTCTATGTGTAGGAGTGTAGGGATTTTTCTCCCGCTGACGATCACACACTATTAAATTGTAACTGTCCTAATGCATTTTTTGTTTCTTTTTTACCTTTTCTAATTAAAACTCACATTTAAAAAAAATAAGTAGACCTAGAATCTAGAATAGATCTAGCTCTAATCCTAGATTTTTCCTAACGTTTTTGTGCGTTTCAGTTGTGTTTGTAATAAAATACGCTCAACTGGAGGTGAACATGAAGCAGCCAATAAAATTAAAAATATGCTTAGGCCCTAAATATAGTTTTACCCTCTAGATCTAAGCATTTGACTTGTCTAGATCTAGAAGTCTCTAGTCAGGAACTCTAGATCTAGAAATCTAGATCTAGATTCTTGGCCAGGCCAACGCATTTTGTAGTAGGCCTATTGTTTTGACTTGAGTTTTGTTTGAAGTATGAGGGTGGGCCCAGTCTATGTCTTCTGGAGATTGGCTTAGAATGCCCTAGAGAGATAATCTTAAGATTTTTTTTAAAATATAGAATCAAGATCACTTTGTTTTTTTTCCTTTTGCAGGTGATTACTTACACGGACTAGATCTAGATCTAAAATTCTAAATCTAGACTAGATCGTAGGCCTAGTTTAAAATAGTGGCCTTTGATAGCCGGTTAGCCTATTATCGATAGCAATTTTAACTGCTTATTTAGATCATTCATATTTAAAGCACGATTACCCATACACAGCGAACAATTTATAACGTTTGATATAAACCAACTTACTTTTTCAACTCTGGTGGATGAGCTTTACTCATTTTAGAACTTTTGGGATTTTAATTAGCGCCAACGAAATATCAGGAAAATAAACTATTTTAGCAGAACCGGAAGTACACAAGTTCGATGGTTGAGTTTGAATACTGTGTATGCTAGGCTAGGCCCAGGTTCGGCAAGGCATAGACCTAGGCCTAAGCAAAAATATTATTTCTAGGTTAAGCCTAGGCCTATTCAGTACAAAATACCATCGATTGAAAATTGTTAGGAATTTTGTAATTAATTAGGCCTAATGTGGTTATTTATAATGTTTTTTTTTATTAAAGACAATCCATTTGAGAACTTAGCTCGAAGAAAGGTAGGCCTATACGGCCTGTATTAAAAAAGTATATATTTTCTATATAAATTATATAAATTTCATTTCGTTCGGGGGGGGGGGGGGGGGGGCGCGGTAAAAATTTTTCGGGGGAGCTTGGCCCCCCCCCCCCCCGAAGAGATGCCTGGAAGAAACTCTGTTTGCGCCCTCTTAATGTCGGCGCCCGGGGCGGCCGCCTTTAATTTACTTAATTTAGGCTAAAACTTATTTCGCATTTTAATTTTAAAAAATGAATAAATTTAATAGTAATAAAAATTGACAAATTTACCCAGTGGTGACCGAGGTTAGATAATATTTTAGAAAGAAATAGCTGTTTGGAAAATCAAAATTGCAACGAGGGCGACGGTGTAGACTGAAGTAAGACGTCATAGCAAGGGGTTGTCTGATTGTTTGTGGCAATGTGTTACCTGTCGCATCTCTGTCCTTTGTTTGTCTCTACAACTGTCCCCAGGTGTCTCCAATCATCGTCGTGTCTTCTTCCAGGTCACGTCTTTAGGTCTTCCTTAGTCGGCCTTTTTTTTCGATTTGCTGTGTGGATTCATAGTGCGGCTTTCTGGGTGTGTGGCCAACCAATCTCCATTTTCTCTGTAAGATATCTTCTTCAGCAAACTGTTAGCTTGTCCGTTACCATAGTAGGCTTACCTCATTTCTGATGGTGTTAAGCCAGCGTATTCGAAGGATCTTTCTGAGGCATGAATTTATAAATTATTCTATTTTTTTTATGTGTGGCGATGTATGGTGATAATAAATAAAATAAAATTAAAATATATCAAATAACCTTAAATGGTCGCCTTCCCGTTTGGGAAGCCCTGCGATATGATCTTAACAAAATTAACTCCACTCTTGCTCTTATCCACTATGTCGTTATGGACGACCCCTAAGTAACATAAGACAATCTGAAAAAAATACACGTTATAAAAAGAACTACCGTATGACTAGTTGTCATGACAACGATATCTATCAAAACAACGGCCGTTATGTCCACCACACATTGCCAGGATAGCGGCCCATGTTTTAAATTCTGTTACATTTCCCAGCCATCGACCATCTGTGCCTATGTGGGACCCCATGTATATTTGATAAGACGACCCGGGGTTGTTGTGGGGGCCGTGGGGGTCTGCGCTAGGGTAGAGCGTCTTGTTAGATCACCCCAGATGAATTATTCACGAGCTGAGGCAATAGGTTTGATCAGACCGTTAATTAGTGAGGAGTAATTAGTGCTTAAGTTGGGTGAAAGAAGACAGTAGAGATGGATTTCATGATAGAGGAGCTCATATTTCATTTTGATGCTATGAAAGAGGATTAATCTTTTCTTATGAGTGAGTTATAATAGGATTATCTAAGGCGATAATCTGACATTGAGATTTAAGATGCCAAGGCTGGTTTTTCGCCAAGATGGCGTCGTTAGATACCATTCTACAAGACAAGATAGCGTCGTTAGATACCAACCAACAGCGGAGACGCAGTTATGGCAGTGTTTGAAGGTTAGCACTAAGACTATCGTCGATTCTAGAGCTTGTTTACCTACCAGTCGTCTGAAGCCAGACAAGCAGACGACAGAAAGATGCTCTACTGCTCCTAATGGAAACTCTGGAGAAAAGCTGAAAGGAAATTTTCTACCAGACAGACCGAAGACAACATGCGAGACCAGACCTATGTGGAGGAGAAAGGAAGCGCCAAGCTCGACAAAGAACCATTTTCAAGAGAACCAGTCTCTTGCTACTGGCCGGGGTAGGTCAACCGGAATGGCATCAGTTCGGTGCCAGATTGGGTCTGACTATGATGAAAAGTTATCAGTAAAGCGTCAAGGGTTAGAGGCGAGACCTTCTACGTCAACAGACACGTCTGCACGCCGTTATTTGGCGTCTGCTGCGTATGGGAGAACGTTGAGGTCGAACAATTTCACGACGAGCAAGTCCAGGCCAAGCACAACTCCTGAATTCAGGGATCCTCCCAGGACATTGACCGCTGATTCCAGGACACTGACCGCTGATTCCAGAACACTGACCGCTGATTCTAGAAAACTGACAGCAGACCTTTCATTAGCCAAACGTTGGGCCTCTAACAGACAGAAGAAAACAGGGTAAGTTAAAGTTCAACCTTTTTCTAAACCGTAACGAAAATGACTTTTGCCAACAAGTCAGCTATTTTTTCTGGGTAGTACACGTTTAACTGTAATACTAACATACTAGCTGTACAGTACTAGCATGAAAGTCGATAGTGTACATTGGAGATCAGGTGACCAAGATACATGGGGCAGATAAAGTAGAGTTCATCTGTTTCAGTGACCTCGGTATACAGATGGATAGTGTGGTCATCACTATGCTCAGTCGATTCCATAACGTGAGTCAGGTATCCATCAGACCTGGGGGGGGGGGGGGGACGGGGGACGACGACGACGACGACAACACACGACTTCTACAGTTGAACCCGTGGCCCGAACACGAGATTTTCGAGTTAACAGTCGTGAGCGCTACCACCCGACCATGATGCCCCCTCAGGTATAGGCCTACAAATGCCCAGCCCAAAATTTCAGCCTGTTAATTTGGTGGCTCGTCTGGTTTCAGGTTTAGCACCACTTACCCTTCTCTCTGCGACCCTTGCTACGACCAAATCGCCTCCAGACTTTACGACTATCTCCTACACGACGACACTGAGATGTTCCTGGCGACCGTCTATTCGGTTGACATGGCAACGCGTCAACAACTGGTCAACATCAGACCTGACCAATCACCGTCCAGCTCGATTTTCTTCTCGGCCTGTCAGCTGACCCGAATGCACCTGATTGACCTCATGCTCAAGGACTGTTTGCCTGACCTTGAACTTACAGGCACTTGTACTCTACCTGACGGCAGTACTGTACACCAGGTGAGATCGTTGTTCCAGGTTTGTTCCAGGTTTTTTCTAGGTTTGTTCTAGGTTTGTTCTAGGTTTGTTTTAGGTTTGTTCCAGGTTTGTTCCAGGTTTGTTCTATGTTTGTTCTAGGTTTGTTCTAGGTTTTTCTAGGTTTGTTTTAGGTTTGTTCTAGGTTTGTTCTAGGTTTTTTCTAGGTAGTTGCAAGAGTTTGTGGAAGTTCGAAACAATTTGTAACAATCAAAAACAGTTTGATCTAGGAAGTACTTATCATCTTGTTTATTTTTGTGTGTGCCAGAACAAAATGTAGATCAGTATGGCTCACTGAGATATTAGAAGAGTAAAGCAGTATACCAGAATGGGTAGGGGAACTTAGTGTATTCATTATATGGTATGGGCATGGGGGTCTAGGGATTCATTTCATGTAAAGAAAGGTGTATTGTGTATCCATTTCGCTTTTTTTACAAAGAAAAGGCGTTCCTCTTATGTACATGGCCAAGAATTAATTGAAATTCTGTACTAATCAATTTGTCATTATAACAGTATTCATGTTCCCATTTCAAGGCATTGGTCAGATATTTGAGATATTTTATTATTAACAGTAGAACACCAATTTGATTTTGCCCAACATTCCCTATTCCGTAAACACCTCATGCACTTGGATACCATACAACTAGACCAAATATTGTATCAAGTAGATCTATACATTATAGCACCTAACAATTGTATACGTCTCTCCTACCCCCCCTCAGGTGACGCCTCTGTGGTTCGCTGCTGCCGCGGGTAACGTAGACTTGGCTCGTCTTCTGCTCAAGTTTCGCGCCAACGTCAACACCACGTCACCAACCGGCTCTTCCGCTGTCATGGCGGCGTGTTGTGTGCCACACGTCGAGACAGTGTCACTGTTGGTGTCACACGGTGCGGACATACACGCCAAAAACATGCACGGGGTCACGTGTTTAATGAACGCTGTGCTCAACACGCAACTTGTCAGGTTACTGGTGCGGCACGGTGCGAAAATTAACGACGCTGATTTATCGGGAAATACCGCACTGCACTATGCAACGGAAGTGGGGAGTATGGAGACAGTCATGTTCCTTGTTGAGAAGGGAGCTAATCCTTTCATCCCCAACAACGATAACATTAATGTGATACAAACAGCTGCTAAACACAGACACCGAGCTATTGTTGAGTATCTACTAAGCGTCACAGCACCGAAAATATCCGAAATTGTTGACGCGTACATTGTTCTTGGCGCTATGACTATTATTTTAGACAGTGATTTTACAAACGGCGTGGTTTATTGGGTTAAAGCTCTGACGTTACGTCGGATTAACCCTTCATTGCTGCCTCAACCGCAGGTTAAAAATTCGATTCTTATGGAGTGTTTTAACGTCAAGGAGATAACGACGCCAGAGGAGCTGACTCGGTTAACGTCGGATCACGACGCGCTGTGCGTGCAGGCTTTGTTGATGTACGAGCGAGTTCGAGGGTGTCTGCATGAGAACTTCATCAACTTGCTGATGTACCGGGGTGCGGTTAGCGCTGATGAGGACAAGTTTCTGCAGGCCGTGACGTTGTGGCGGGCAGCGTACAAGTTACACCTGCAGAAATACCTGGACAGGAGACTCGAACTGCAGCCTTTCAACAGGAACATCATGAGGAACTTGCAGTTTCTGGTCAAGGTGCTGTTTCATGCGTGGACAGTTCGCAACACGGGACATCACCCTGTGCGACAAAATGACCAGAGCTGTATCCCCGAGGTCATTGTCCGAGATGTATTCGGGCTTGTATGTCAACATATCTCATATGTTTGTGACGATAGCAGCGGTTTTAAGAAAGAGGATAACTTTTATTTACTTTTGAAATGTTGTCTTTGTTTATTTTTATTTTATTTAGAAAACTACACCGCCGAGGAGCGGAGTCTAGACTTTGGGAAATGCCTGCAGAGTTTGGTCAGGATTAACCCTTTAGGTGCCAAAGGTCAGAGTTTATTGCATATGTGTTTGGACAAGGACACTCTGGAACCGTTGGAATGGGACGGGTCAAACGGTCAGTTTTGGCCTTCACGTGCCATGGTAGAAATTCTGCTGCTGTTTGGAGCCGACCCCCGGGCACAGGACACCGAGGGTAACACGCCACTCCATTACCTGACTCACCTGTACAACAAAGGTGTGCAGGTAGACCAGGCGCTGCTGAAAGTTTTACTGACCTTCAGAGGTCATGCTGACCAGGTGAACTACCAAGGTCAGACTGCCGTTGACCTTCTACACGCAGACGTGAGTGTAAGAGCCCAGTTGCAGACGATATCCCTGAGGTGTCTGGCGGCGCGGGTAGTCGCTACCCACGGGCTGTCGTATGTGGGGGAGGTTCCTGTCTCGCTGTACTCATTCGTTGAGCTGCACGCTACGAGACCCAGGTGCCACTAAATTGTCACATCTACCTTAGTACTTTTTAAACACAAGAATAAATATCATTGTAGAAGCGAGTAAATCTGAAGAAGCATTTCAATAATTTGGAAATTGTATTTTAAAAAAATCATGCAACAAACTTTAAAAATATATTATTACAAAATGTTGGATCTAGATGTTGAAGATGATTTCAATTGTGTAAACATAGATAGCAATAAAAAGCCTTTAATGCAATGTATTCTCTTCTTATTTATTTCATGACCATCCATTTGCCTCATTAAATAAAATTATGCTTATTTGGCCTGTTTAAAAATAATTTAAGTTACGTTTTGTTTTTAAAATTATATAGGGCCTAATTTTTTTTTCAATAAAATTAATTTTTTCAATAACGGTAACAACAGTAGGTACGGAGGCCTATTTTCACATTTGCCGTTAAAAAAAGTAGATTAACTTTACTAAATTGGTCATGCTAATTGAAATAGTGATTAGTTAAATTGAAAAATGCAGACATACTAGATTTAAGGTCTTTCAAAAAATTCTTACTAGTGAAAAGTAAACCGGGAGTGATCTCCCCTAAACTTTCTCGAATTTTCTTTAAAAAACAACAGGGGATGGGAACTCGGGATATAGACATGATTTTAAATTCAATTTAAAATTTCTTAAACTTTTAAAAATAGAATCTAGTAGAAAAAAGAATTCCGCACGAAGTGAACGCCAAAAAATATGTGTATAATAGTGCGGAATATTATTAGTACTTTATAAATGCACATGTGTTTTTTGAGAAAACGGAGATAGCGTAAATTACTACTTCCAGTCAACGGAATTTGACACAAGGCAGAGAATTGGATCTTTTACTTATTTGTGAAATTTCATTTATCTATCTGAAATAGTGGTCAAGTTATAGGCTTTTGAAAAACCAAAAGTAGAATAAGTTCCACTTCCGGTTACTGGAAATCGCCGAATAGTTGATACAGAACTACAAATTTGATATAATACTTGTAGATCTATATGAAATTTCATCAACCAAGCTGTAACGGTACTCTATAGCCTACTTCGTATACAAGAAAGTAAAAATTGACACATTTTTTATAGTGCAGGGGAAGCTATCGTGGATATTTATTATATTTTCATAAATTGTACAAGGTAGCCTCCCCTTACTTGTCAAATGCGATTATTAATTTTTTAATATACGGGCCTGTTTTAAAGATTTACCCCTTGGCTTAAAGAGCAAAAAAATAAAATAAAAAATACTAGGCATTTTAAATATGCAGCTTCTTGAATACTTGAAGGCCCATTGGGGATATTTTAGTTAATAAATATAGTCTCATGTAGCATGCTAATGTAATAGCAGCATAGTAGTTAACAATTTTATTAAAATAAAATTGGATACTCAAAAAAAATAAAATAAAATAAAATAAATAATAATAATAATAAAAAGCAAATGATAAAGATCTTTTAAAATCGTTTCATTGTTTTTACATACAATTTACAATAATAAACAATAATAAACAAAGTTTATGATAAAAAGTAAAGGAAACGACTTTCAGATATATAAAAAATGTTTTAAAAATATTATTTACGAGCCGACCCGCGGCATATCATACACCGCTATTTAGTTGTTTTATTTTCTACTTTTCAGTAATTCATAATTTGTGAATTCCACAGTACCAATGCTGCCACTGAAAATATTTGCTTTAAAACACTATCAGTAGGTCGTTAAGGACGATACTACCCCCACCCAACCCCCACCCTTCACCCCCCCCCCCCCGACAGCAGCCTCCTCTTAGTTACCTCCCCAAAGTTTAAAATAGTTTCAAACTATATTATCTGCCCCTAATAGCCGTCACTAAACCCGGCTCTATCATTGTAAACATTTAGCGTGAACCAAAGCTCACCAGACCATGTAGGGGTGGGGTGGTAGGGAGCGCGCTTACAGCTTGTTTTCTAGCGTCTCCAAGAGGAGAATTATATATATAGATTCTGGAACAAGAATACAAGATCTTCTTCAACCCATCAATAAAAGACCTTCTTTAATTCACCCAGCTGGTACAAGACCTTCTGCTTTCCCTCGAAAAAAAAAAACAAATGAAAAAGACCTTCAATTATCAAAGCAAAATAAAAAAATACAAATCCAGATCTGCCTAAAATCTTCAAGCAAAAGAAAAAAAAAACAAGAAATCGATTCTACTGCTTTATGATACCATCCTCATACATGGTATAAGACGTATAACTATACTAGACCAAGTTGATATCTAGATTAACTAGACAACTAGACCAACTAGTCAGTTAAACAACTACAACAACCAAACTACTAGAGTCTAGACAATTAGACCAACTAGAAAATTAGACCAACTAGAAAACTAGACCAAATAGAAAATTAGACCAACTAGAAAACTAGACCAACTAGAAAACAAGACCAATTAGACAACTAGATCAATTAAGCAAAGAAGATCAGCTATACTTTGTGGCTAAGTAGACTAATTAGCCCAAGAAAACTACTTGGCCAAAAACCAAGTATACCAACTAAAAACTAGAGAACTAGACCGACAAGAACAACTACACAACTAGACCAACTAGACAAAAGACCAACTTAAAATGTTTGCTTTTGATAATCCCCCACCGGCTCCACACATACACACATACATACACACACATACACACACACAAACAAAATTCCCCATTCAGCTATTAGGCTACGTAAACATACATAATGAATTTATCCCCCCCCCCCCCCCAACATCAACTCCCCGTGTAGTTTGAAGCCCTTTTATCCAATACGCTAACAAGCAGCAAACTGTTACCTACAAATTGCCTACAGCTATTCAGGCAACCACCCTACTCTAAGGTCAAGTACCATTCATTCATCAACTACAACATAGTCAGGACTTCAACTCTTTAGACATATTCCCGTCATTTAACCCCGTATGTAAACACCCCCTCCCCACCCCCACCTATGAACTCAATACGGTGATTAGCTCCAGCCCACCCGTCACCGTATCGATACAGTCAGCTGATCTCTCCTCAAGCGTGACCAATGTTATCAGTCTCAAGACGAGGCATTGATCTGCTACACGCGGCGATTGATTTGCTATTCATAAGGTCTTTAGTCGCTGAGATGAAGAAATATCGAACACTCTGAAGTTAAGTGTGCGCGTATGTACGTGTGTGTATTTGTCTAGGAGCGCCTGTGTGTGTGTGAGATTAACACAGGGGTGGGGGGGATCAATTATCTACACTAGAGAGTAATGCCACTCGTTTGGTTTTGTGTCAAGTCAAACATGACAGAGGGGATTTACATAAGTTTTACAGACCTGGTACAACACAGGAATGTCTCGTTATTGCATGTGCAGATCAACTTGATAACGGATTAAGAAATCAGCTTTATTGGAAGTCTGCTTTATTGGAAGTCTGCTTTAGGTAACGGCGCTGTTCAAGTGGTTAGACAGACATGAGGCAGACATTAAAGCAGATTTTTTTGTCTTGTGAATTAGGTCAGCCAGGTGATTCAAAGGAGGGTTGACGGTCGTTGGGAGAAATGACAGAGGTAAGTCAGTGTGTTGGTGGTTAAATAGTCAGTTTGTTGGTGGTTAAATAGTCAGTGTGTTGGTGGCTAATTAGTCAGTGTGTTGGTGGCTAATTAGTCAGTGTGTTTGTGGTTGATTGGACATTGTCTGTCTGGCTTATGAGTAATTGTTTGTCTGGCCAGCTGGTCATTGTATGTCTAGTTGGTCATTGTCTGGCTAGTTGGTCGTTGCATGTCTGGCTAGTTGGTCATTGTATGGCTAGTTGGTCATTGTATGGCTAGTTGGTCATTGTATGTCTGGCTAGTTGGTCATTGTATGTCTGGCTAGTTGGTCATTGTCTGGCTAGTTGGTTATTGTCTGGCTAGTTGGTCATTGTCTGGCTAGTTGGTCATTGTGTGTCTGGCTAGTTGGTCATTGTCTGGCTAGTTGGTCATTGTCTGGCTAGTTGGTCATTGTATGGCTAGTTGGTCGATGTATGGCTAGTTGGTCATTGTATGGCTAGTTGGTCATTATCTGGCTAGTTGGTCATTGTCTGGCTAGTTGGTCATTGTATGTCTGGCTAGTTGGTCATTGTCTGGCTAGTTGGTCATTGTCTGGCTAGTTGGTCATTGTATGTCTGGCTAGTTGGTCATTGTCTGGCTAGTTGGTCATTGTCTGGCTAGTTGGTCATTGTATGTCTGGCTAGTTGGTCATTGTCTGGCTAGTTGGTCATTGTCTGGCTAGTTGGTCATTGTCTGGCTAGTTGGTCGTTGTCTGGCTAGTTGGTCATTATCTGGTTAGTTGGTCATTGTATGTCTGGCTAGTTGGTCATTATCTGGCTAGTTGGTCATTGTATGTCTAGTTGATCATTGTATGTCTGGCTGGTTGGTCATTGTCTGGCTAGTTGGTCATTGTCTGGCTAGTTGGTCATTGTCTGGCTAGTTGGTCATTGCCTGGCTAGTTGGTCATTGCCTGGCTAGTTGGTAATTGTATGTATGGCTAGTTGGTCATTGTCTGGCTAGTTGGTCATTGTATGTCTGGCTAGTTGGTCATTGTCTGGCTAGTTGGTCATTGTCTGGCTAGTTGGTCATTGTCTGGCTAGTTGGTCAATGTATGTCTGGCTAGTTGGTCATTGTCTGCCTAGTTGGTCATTGTCTGGCTAGTTGGTCATTGTCTGGCTAGTTGGTCAGTGTATGTCTGGCTAGTTGGTCATTGTCTGGCTAGTTGGTCATTGTCTGGCTAGTTGGTCATTGTCTGGCTAGTTGGTGATTGTCTGGATAGTTGGTCATTGCATGTCTGACTAGCTGGCCATCGTATGTCTGGCTAGTTGGTCATTGTCTGGCTAGTTGGTCATCGCATGTCTGACTAGCTGGCCATCGTATGTCTGGCCAGTTGGTCATTGTCTGGCTAGTTGGTCATTGTCTGGATAGTTGGTCATTGTCTGGCTAGTTGGTCATTGTCTGGCTAGTTGGTCATTGTATAACTAGTTGGTCATTGCATGTCTGGCTAGTTGGTCATTGTCTGGCTAGTTGGTCATTGTCTGGCTAGTTGGTCATTGTCTGGCTAGTTGGTCATTGTATAACTAGTTGGTCATTGTATAACTAGTTGGTCACTGCATGTCTGGCTAGTTGGTCATTGTATAACTAGTTGGTCATTGTATAACTAGTTGGTCATTGCATGTCTGGCTAGTTGGTCATTGTCTGGCTAGTTGGTCATTGTGCAGCTAGTTGGTCATTGTGCAGCTTGTTGGTCATTGTGCAGCTAGTTGGTCATTGTGCAGCTAGTTGGTCATTGTCTGACTAGTAGATCTTTGTGTGTCTGGCTAGTTGGTCGTGAAAAAATGAAATACCTTGCTATAAGCAAATAAAACAAATAAAAAAAAACTTTTCTTAATAAAAACAAATGCTGCATTAGAAATGGGTAAAAATTCGCAACAAACCCATAAACAAGCAAGCAAACAAACAAATAAATAAACATGCATTGTAAAGTAAATAAAAGCTTATAAAAGTGGAAATCGTGCAAGGGTAAGATGTTTTTAACGAAATATAAATGAAATATGCTTGAGACAAAACTTCTGAAATAAATCTTTTTGCCCAGGACCAAACTGGCCATGACGTCATCAGCTGGGGTGGTGGGGAATTCGGTCAACACGGCCACCAGGTACAGACTGACGTCAGCTTCCATGATGGGTGTCTACCATTACCTGGGCAAGTCAAGATGGTTGCATGTGGCTCAGGTCATACTGTAGCAGTCACAGGTCAGTTGATGACTTAAGTAGTCACAGGTCAGTTGATGACTTTAGGTGTAGCAGTCACAGGTCAGTTGATGACTTTAGGTGTAGCAGTCACAGGTCAGTTGATGACTTTAGCAGTCACAGGTCAGTTGATGACTTTAGGTGTAGCAGTCACAGGTCAGTTGATGACTTTAGCAGTCACAGGTCAGTTGATGACTTTAGCAGTCACAGGTCAGTTTATGACTTAAGCAGTCACAGGTCAGTTGATGACTTTAGGTGTAGCAGTCACAGGTCAGTTGATGACTTAAGCAGTCACAGGTCAGTTGATGACTTAAGTAGTCACAGGTCAGTTGATGACTTAAGTAGTCACAGGTCAGTTGATGACTTTAGGTGTAGCAGTCACAGGTCAGTTGATGACTTAAGCAGTCACAGGTCAGTTGATGACTTAAGTAGTCACAGGTCAGTTGATGACTTAAGTAGTCACAGGTCAGTTGATGACTTTAGGTGTAGCAGTCACAGGTCAGTTGATGACTTTAGGTGTAGCAGTAAAAAGTCAATTGATGAATAGAGTAATCGGAAAATTTTGACGACGTCATCCTGTTACTCTCTTTAAAATTGTCTTAACTTAAGTGCTGTCCAAAATAACGTTTTTTTTTATTTTCTCCCGATTACAGACCCATTGAATACAATCACCACCCCCCTCCCCCCTTCCCCACCACCACCACCACCTCTCCAACCTACAACAAATATTAACCCTCTTGTCTCCGTTATTATTTTTTATACAAAATATATGCTGTGTCACATTCCTAGACCCTCCCCTCCCCCCACATCCCCGCGGACGTAGCACATGCAGCACATAGTCAAATTTTTCCTAGCTCCCAATTAGTTTATTAATAGACGACACTAAAAGGGTTTTAGATATGTAGGGAAAATCTAAGGGAAACAACTCTGTTCATTTATTTGAATTTCAATTATTACATGTTTCTTTCTCTTGGTATAGTCCTTAAAAAAACCTAATCAAAATAAACTAGACGAAAAAAACAAACAAACAAACAAACAACAACCTTCTTTTGTTTAGTTTTTGTCTAGTCTTTGTCAACACTATTGTGTACTGACGAAGACCTTGAGTCGAAACGTCCATCGTACCTATAAATGTCTTTAATATGTAAACCTTTTTAATTACAAAATTTCCCATCGAAATAACATTTATTTAACAATAAAACATTCTAGCTATCACGTGTAAATCAAATGAACCTAGTCACCTTCTTAATTAATTAATCAAAACATTATCTTAGATTTACTCTTAACCACAGATGTATCTGTTGTATCTGTTGTTGTAGCTGAATGATTCTCACATCGACCCGTGTAGTTACTACCGGACAAATCGTGTGCTTGGTTAATTAGATCGTTTGCAAGTTAAATAATAACATTTTAGCGAATCCAATGAACCACTTGATAGCTTTATTGTTACTGAAAAGTTTTTACATTTCAGTAAATTTCGTAATTATTATTTGGAAGGGAGGGCACCTAGTTTTGTTCTAGTGTTCTTAAATTTCACAGTAGCTTCCCTTTTAACGTCAGTGATGTATTTTTAAATGTAAGGCGATTTTAACAAGAAATCATATATAAAAATAAACTTCACTATAAGTTTATAAACGAACAAAAAAAAAACGATATAAGGAATACAAACATCCTACTGACATTATAACAGAAAACAGTTAAAAGCAGAGTCAATGCTTTAGGTGTCTATTTGTAAAGGTAAAGTGCACAAAAACTCATTGGAAATAAAAAGAAAACCCTCCCTCTGTCAATAGCCATCCACTTTTGACACCCCAAGTTAAGATAAATGCAACAAAACCACATGACATATGTTCACATTAAATGACACAAAACCCATGTTTACGTTATATGACACAAAATCACATGTTTACATTAAATGACACAAAATCACATGTTCACATTAAATGACACAAAACCCATGTTTACATTAAATGACACAAAATCACATGTTTACATTACATGACACAAAACCCATGTTTACATTAAATGACACAAAACCCATGTTTACATTAAATGACACAAAACCCATGTTTACATTAAATGACACAAAATCACATGTTTATATTAAATGACACAAAACCCATGTTTACATTAAATGACACAAAACCCATGTTTACATTAAATGACACAAAATCACATGTTTACATTAAATGACACAAAACCCATGTTTACATTAAATGACACAAAACCCATGTTTACATTAAATGACACAAAACCCATGTTGACATAAATGACACAAAATCACATGTTTACATCAAATGACACAAAACCTATGTTTACATTAAATGACACAAAATCACATGTTTACATTAAATGACACAAAACCCATGTTTACATTAAATGACACAAAACACATGTTTACATTAAATTACACAAAACCCATGTTGATATAAATGACACAAAACCCATATTTACATTAAATGACACAAAACCCATGTTTACATTAAATGACACAAAACCCATGTTTACATTAAATGACACAAAACCCATGTTTACATTAAATGACACATAATCACATGTTTACATTAAATGACACAAAACCCATGTTTACATTTAATCACACAAAACCCATGTTTACATTAAATGACACAAAACCCATGTTTACATTAAATGACACAAAACCCATGTTTACATTAAATGACACAAAACCCATGTTTACATTAAATGACACAAAACCCATGTTTACATTAAATGACACAAAACCCATGTTTACATTAAATGACACAAAATCACATGTTTATATTACATGACACAAACAACAATTTTCTATCCAACACCACGGATAATTTCTAATTTTTAAAGATTTTTTTTTCATTTTGCAAAGTTTCAAAAAGTCATAGCTTTTGGACATCAGAAGGACCCACACTAGAACAAAAATATCCCCCCCCCTAAATTTAACAATAGAGTTTGTCAATACTCTACTGTCAAGTCTTACTTTGTATGTTTTTATAAAATCAAAACAGATGATCATATTTCTCTGTTTACAAAACAAATCGAGGTAATAAGTTAACAGGTGCTTACACAAATGTAATCATCATGTGCTATAAACATGATGTAATCAATACACAGAATGTGCTACGAACATGATGATCTTAGAGATAATAATGTTAGCACCATATGTGCCACAAAGATATAATTATTTTAGCATCTAATGCACTATGAACATGATGTAATTTTAGCACAAAGTGTTCCATCATCCAATAATTTGGGAACCAACTGTGCTATAAGCTAAAGTAATTTTAGCACCAAATGTGCCACAAATACGCACATTGTCAACACGAAATATGCCACAAATACGCACATTGTTAACAACAAATGTGCTATAATTATCCACAAAAAGATTTCCCATTCACAATCCAATACAATAAATTTCCACCGATACTAGTCAGTGTGTGTATCGGAGATAAATGTCTATGTGTATGTGTGTACGTATGTGCTTTAAAAAAAACCCCTCACATTCCATTCATGTTTTCGTCAAATTTTAATCAAACCCCAGTCCGGTCCGTGCAGCACTAATTGCAAGCGTCACAGTCTACCAGAGCACCGTGTGACCCCCCCCCCCCCCCCACCCTCCAGCCCCACCCCCTACCTGTCTGATGCCCGTGTCAGCCCGGCCATTATTTTCGTCCCTCACTTTTTTAAAAATCAGCGACCACGTGATACGTACAGCACTCATGCACGTGCAGAGGTGGAACTGGTTTAACACGTGGGATCAACATGCGGAAATATGAGGGAGGGGGTGGATGGTGGGGGTCACAAGAGGGGGGGGGGGAACTGAGAAGTCTGACAGGTTATGCAATTTTATATGGGTCGTTAGGTTTACTGATATAGTCTTAAAAGATATATAAGCATATAGGCCCCTATATATATATATATATATATATATATATATATATATATATATATATATATATATATATATATATATATGTGTGTGTGTGTGTGTATATATGTATATATGTAAACAAATATGTATATATACATATATATGTATAGATAAACTATATATATATATATATATATATATATATATATATATATATATATATATATATATATATATATATATATATATTGTAGGCCTATATTTATGCGCCTATATAGAGAGATGGGTGTATTAACATCAAGTTTTATTAAGTAATAGAGCGTAGGATATAACCCCTCCCCCCTCCCCCTCCCCACTGCATTTGTTAAAATGAGCGCAGACGACCGTACAATTGCTCGTGCCTACAACCCTGCACCTGTTAGTGGCAGACACCTGGCCAGATGCAGGGGGTGGGGGGGGGGGGGCTGGTAGTCCAGGCAGTGAGGTGAAAGATGGACGGTGCTGGTAACCTTGAACTATGTCACCGTGACCCACGAGAGTGTACATTGCACCATAGCAACAACATACTTCCGGTGGGAGGTTAATGTTAGGGGTGACCTACGACCGATAAACTCTCAAGTTTCTTGCGCGGGGGTGTGTTTGTTTGTTTGTTTATGTGTGCTAGTGGGTTCAAGTGACTTGTTCTAGGTTTGAGTCCGGGGTTTGTATGCATTCAATGCTTGTATTTTTGTGTAAGTATATATGCATTCGTGTATAGTTCTGTGTGCGATTATGTGTATGTTTACAGGACTTTGTATTTGGAAACATATGTGCAAACATGTGTCTGTATTTCTGTGTATGTTTCTGTGTCTCTGTGATTTTACATGTCTTTGACTGCGTTTGTCTGTGTGTGTCTGTGTGTGTCTGTGTGCGTCTGTGTGTGTCTGTGTGTGTCTGTGTGTGTCTGTGTGTGTCTGTGTGTCTGTGTGTGTCTGTGTGTGTCTGTGTGTGTCTGTGTGTGTCTGTGTGTCTGTATGTGTCTGTGTGTCTGTGTGTGTCTGTGTGTGTCTGTGTATGTGTGTCTCTTTATGTATCTGTGTGTATGTATGTGTCTGTGTGTCTGTGTGTGTATGTGTGTCTCTGTATGTATCTGTGTGTC